GTTATGCCAATTTGTACTTAAGCATCCTGAAGTGTCATATGATCTTCGAAATGCTTCTAAAAATCGGTGTTTGCACAAACAGACTTTTATATCAAGTGGAGCAGTTATATTGGCTTGGGCATAATTCGTTATTGGTAGCAAACTACCAAAAAGAAATCATTTTGTTTCAGAGCTTATTACGAGCTTTACTCGTTGCCATGTTGAGGTCGTCCCTGACGTCACAGTCGGAATATACACTGGATTTAGCGGTTCCGTCATCGGATCAACAGCTAACGATTATGCGTATTAGTTGTCGTCTTCCATTTACAAAATGAGTATGTCGAGTTTTGCTCCACTCATTACACCTCGGACATGGCTCGTATATCGTCGCCTTCAAGCTGTCTATATGCATACATGATTCTCCTTGAGCAAAAATTATTTTAACCAAGTCTGTGAGTTTTTAAGGCTTCTAACACATTTTCAGCTCATCACCGGAATGCCTGATATCAAAAATTTGCTCACGCCGAAGGTAGCCATTCCCGCTTTTGCCGCAGTTGTTCTTCTCGTAGCGGCAACATTGGTAGCTATATTTTACATTAGGTTTGTTTTCTTATTCGGAAAGGCACTCACTGTATGTAGCACGCAAATTTTTAGGGTAAGCAAAATGTGTCCCAATTTTATGGAGAAGCTCGTTAGAGCTGTTTGAAATATTGGCATAGAAATCGAACGCATATGGCTTTCGTGTAAACAAGATATTTCAGAAATCCTAGCGTCACCGACAATCTCTTCAACCACGATGATGAAACGACACCTATTCCCGAAGAGGAACATAGACAAAAGGGAGCGGTAGGTTTCATAAGTTTAATGACATTTGCGAAGTCCGATTATGACGTCTTCTTCAGGCTGCTGCGGGTGGATCGTATCATTCACAAAACACTCCAAAGATAACCACGATGAAGGTGCTGACGATGACGACAGTCGCTTCTACGCCGGCCCCCACAAGCGCAGATGGCTTGACTACAACGGGTACTGGTGAGGACCCAAACCAAGTTGATAATCCAAGATTCCGTAGTAACGTTGCTGGCTTTTTTCAGCGGTGAACACCGCTCCAACGAACTTGGACAACTCTGCATATACCGTCCATACAATGGAGCCCATGAGCAGTAAAAAGTAGAAGAAACCTTTTGAATGTTCTTATGCTTTCAATACATAAATAAAGTAAATTGTCTTTGTTGCGTGTAGTCTTTTTTACCTTTTCCAAATTGTCAGAACTGGTTTCATTGTTAACTTTACACTCAATCATCATTCAAAATGTTTATTGCTGTATTAGATGCTGTAGCTTCATAATGCGTTATATAAACTTTAATTAATACATTCATGTGTTATAGCGTACATTTACATCAGTGGCTGCGGTGGCTTGGTGGTAATCCAAACGCTAGGTATTAGACGGAGGCCAAACAGTGTTTTGTCCTCAAAGACTGCGCGAATACAGAGGTGAAAGCTTGCCAGTAGTGCTGCATGATTTGTACAAATTTTAGTAGATTTTTTGGTGTGCTGAGACATATATAATTCCAATTGCTGCTTTCTCAGGAGTATCGTTGCGCTGACAAATACAGGCTTGAAACTCCGCAAAACTCTTCTAATCAGGGCATCCCGTTGCCTTTACGTGAAAAGCCGGAAAAGATTCGTGACCGGGAGGGCACAGCCTCGCACAAGTGGGGATCTGAAGGTACCTGCTGGTTTCTTGCAGGGCAACATGCAGTCATTACTCAATGGTTACCGAGATGTGGAGGATTTTATGCCGCCGAAATGTCCTGGGTCGGCATCTGCAACAAATATCTACCTCTCATACACGCAAGAGTTTTCTAGTTGTTTCAGATGTTTGCGCGGCTTCTCCCCATTTGGTAAATAGTCTCTACCCGTTACCGTGGCAATGGTCGCAAGTTATAGTCAAGTCAGTTCTTCACGAACGGTACCCCTAATGCGATGTCAAGCTGTAAACCTGGTGTTTCCAAATTTGTGCTTGGAGGAACTTTCCTTCGTAATCTTCGCGTAGGCT